TCTCTCACTTCAGGCTCCCAAGTAGCTGGGACCACAGGCGCCCACCACCACGCTTACCTAATTTTTGTATTTTTAGTAGAGACAGGGTTTCGACATGTTAACCAGGGTGGTCTTGAATTCCTGAACTCAGGTGATCCGCCCACCTCAGCCTCCCAAAGTTCTGGGATTACAGGCGTGAGCCACCACACCTGGCTGAGACATTTTTAAAACACCAGTATTACCATGATACCACGTTTAGAACTCTTCTCAAGCTCTGTTCTGCACATAAGGTGGTCCACATTCCTATGCATAGCACATGAGATTTCATCATCTCATCCCTACTTTTCCGAACTCCTCTTTTGACACTTCCTCTTGCAGTCATTGTGAAGCATTCATTGTGAAGCATTCATTGTGAAGCATTCCAGTCATTGTGAAGCATTCACAGTTCCCTAAACCCAGGAAACTGTTTCATGCTTTGTACTTGTAGCAGAGACATTTATTACTCACAGAATAGCCATGTGTTCCTGTACATTTCGCAACCCCGGAAGGCATGTGATTAGTTCTGACCAACGGGCTGTGGATGAAAATTATATGTATCACCTCTGAGCTGAAGCACTGAAGAGCCAGTGTGCTAAATTCCAGCTGTTTTTTGTTTTCCTGCAATGCCATCTTACAAACCACATGTTCCAGGTGGTACAGCTGGACCCACTAGCCTGGGTCCCTAAGTGACTATGTGGAGCAGGGCCCTGCTCCTTACTCCTCCTGCCCAGCTGACCTGATTAGACATGCGACCTGAGTGAGAAATAAACTTCAGCTATCTGCAGCTACGAAGGCTTCAGGGTCATTTTATTACCAAACCATAACCTAGGCTTTCCTGACTCATGCTTTTGTACAGCACTTTGTACAAACTGTTCCCTCTGCCTGACATGACCCCCTTCAGCTGCCTGGGAAAGTCTTACTGATTGTTCCAGCCCCGTTGATCTTCTCTTCTGTGAAACTGATCTGAGTCATTACAAAAGAAAGCGAACTACTTCCTCCTGTGCTCCCACGGCACCTTGGATACAATGCTGACATCATCCTCATCACTGGTTATCACAACAATTTAATATCCATCAATTCATATGGTACTAGATGGTGGGTGCATTGAGGGCAGGGACTGTGTGTCATCCAGCTATCAAATTTGTATCTCCAGCACCTCACAGAAGGATTTGCATACAGAGGGTACCCAATCCAATGAATGAATGAATAGAAAACTGACTAAATGTAATCTGTACAGAATAGGCTTTTGACTGAGAGTGATGGGGGAGGTCTGGATCATAGAGTGAAAACACTGTATGGGACTCTATAGTTTGCAGATGTTAGAAGGCAATAATTGCCATTTTGAGCTTATGTTGAATTCAGAGTAATATTGGCCTGTATAATGTGTATTACTATAGAAAATAAAATTTTCATTCATACAATCAGGAAGGTGATTCTTCAAAGATGTCTAAAAATTAATTATGACTCATGAGTGGGTGCATGAGAGTGGAATCAGCATAGGTCCTGTTAGTGGTAAGTGTTTATTTAGGAAACAACACTGCACGTGTGTAACAGCCAGAATAACAATCAAATTAAAATCACGTGTAATTGGAACGTTACGAAAAGGTGGAAAGGACACTGTGAACAAAATGCAACTCTATCTATCTATCATCTATCTATCTATCTATCTATCTATCTATTTATCATCATCATTATCTGTCTGTCTGTCTGTCTATCTATCATCTATCAGTTTATCTACCTAACTATCTATATACCTATCATCTATCGGTTTATCTATCTACCTATTTATCTACCTATTATCTATCGACCTATCTATCATCTACCTATATCTATTGATTTATATATCTACCTATCTATCACTATCAGTCTATTATCTATCTATCCATCATCTATCTATTATCTATCATCTACCTATCTATTATCTATCATCTATTTATTATCTATCATCTATCTATCTGTCTATCTATTATCTATCTACCTATCATCTATCTGTTTATCTTCTACCTATCTATCTACCTATCATCTATCTACCTATCTGTCATCTATCTACCTATCTTCTATCAATTTATCTATCTACCTGTCTATCATCTATCAATCTATTATCTAGCTATCCATCATCTGTCTATTATCTATCATCTACCTATTATCTATCATCTATTTATCTATTATCTATCATCTATCTACCTATCTACCTATTATCTATCTATCTATCTATCTATCTATCTATCTATCTATCTATCTACTATCATCACCTGTAAATCCATGAGAGCAGTAGGGGCGGACCTAAGTTTTGTGGGGCCTCTCATTGCCTCTTTAAATTCTACTGGGTAGGGGCAGCATTCCTCTACCCCTGCTGATGACTTGGGTAGACCAGTGATCTCAAGGTCACATTCAGACAATAAAATATCCTTTGAGTTGCAGAAAATGGCCTCCATTCAGATTTTAGCATTCCAAGTCCCAGGTAATAGTTAAAACTTCAGAAATAATTTAGCTTTAAATCTTCTTTCCTTCCCTGGCTGGGACCTGTCTCACCCAGGAGGTCTGCTGTGGGAAGGGGTCGTGGCTCTCTTCCTTTCCCCTCCCTCTGCTCACCTCCTTCCCTTTGTTTGCTGCTATTTCCTTCCATTCCTGGAATGAAGCCCAGAAAGGGGAGAGGGATGAGGATAAAACAGCTCTCATGTGGCTGGGCGGCCTAAGCCCTTTGGGCCGGACAGCTGGCCTCCCTGCAGCAGCCTGGCTGATGATTAAAGCTGACCCTGCCAGGAGCTCCACAAAGGCCTCCAGCTGGCTACTCTCTCCTGTGCTTCCCTTGACCCAGGCCGAAGCATCTCTGTCCCTCCAGGTGGTCTCCTGTGATTCTTTCCCCAGCTCCTGGGATTCTGGAGGTGCCGCGTCCAGTCCCTCTGCTGAGGTCTGTAGTCCACGCCTTTAGGCTCCAAGACCACCCCACACTACCCCACACCTGCTTCTTTTCCCACGGGGCCCTCATCTGGTCTTGGGACATGCCCCTCGCTCTGCCACCATAGTATTCATCGGTTAAAATATTCTGGCACTGTCCTATGTCCTTTGCATTTATTACCTAATTAATAATGCTCACAACCAGGAAGGTACATTTGGCAGGCCATATCCATGGGTATTTCCTCTAAAATTTCTGTCCCTGGTTTTGCCATCACAAAACACTGCGTGCACATTTCATTTGTCATTGATTTTGGCTGCAGAAACAGGAATCAGGAGATTGAGGCTTTATCTTGGCTTGACCATGAACTCACTGTGAGGCTTATGGCAAGTCAGCCATATCTCCGGGCCTCAGTTTCCACAGCAATAAAATAGGGAAGTGGAATGGGCTCATCCTCACAAGATTCCTTTTCTTTCTTTTTCTGAGACAGAGTCTCACACTGTTGCCTGAGCTAGAGTGCAGTGACGCGATCTTGGCTCACTGAAACCTCTGCCTCTCGGGTTCAGGCGATTCTCCTGCCTCAGCCTCTCAAGTAGCTGGGATTACAGGTTCCTGTCACCACGCCCAGATAATATTTTGCATTTTTAGTAGAGACGGGGGTTGCAGCATGCTGGCCAGGCTGGTCTCAAACTCCTGACCTCGTGATTCACCCACCTTGGCCTCCCAAAGTGCTGGGATTACAGGTGTGAGCCATGGCACCGGGCCCCAAGGTTCCTTTTCACAGTAAAACTCCATGATTTAAGAAATAATTCTAGGATAAAGAAATGCATGTAGGCGTTTGGGGATAGGAGGAGAAAGATTAGTTAGGATGTGGGGCATGGATAACCTTGGCAATCCAGACACAAGTAACCCTTAAAGGTCCTAAGCATCTTTCAACTTTGAACAAACTTAAATATGAATCTAGGATGCCTTGGAATCTAGGGCTTTGTCAATTGCTTCTTTCACAATTCTAATGAGAAATCTCATTAAAAAGAGAGGTTTCAGTCCATGGTTTTAAGAATCTTAAAAACATTTGTCCGCCTGACTCATTAACTCCACTACCAGAAATAGATTCTAAGAAATAATCAGAAGCTTACACAAAGGTTTGTGTATAAGACAGTGAGTCACCGCAATCTTTAGAGTAGTAAAAAGTAGAAACAACTCCCTTTGTTCCATCTCTGCTCACATAACACCTCCTTAGAGAGGGTCTTGACCTGGGCAAATCAAGTGGCCCCTCTCTTCTTACCATGCCTTTATTTGTTATGTCATAACACGATCACCATGTGATTAAGTAGATATTTATTTGTTAAGGTGTTTGCTTTCTTTCTCACAACTAGGATGTCAGCCCCATGAGAGCAGTAGGAGAAGATCCAAGTTTTGTGTGACCCGAAGCACATAAAAATTTGAGGCCTGTTTTAAGAAAAACTTTTTTTTTTTTTGAGACAGATTCTCACTCTATTGCCCAGGCTGGAGTGCAGTGGTGCGATCTCGGCTCACTGCAACCTCCGCCTTATGGGTTCAAGCGATTCTGCCTCAGCCTCCCGAGTAGCTGGGATGACAGGCATGTGCCACCACGCCTGGGGTAATTTTTGTATTTTTGGTACAGATGGGTTTTGCCATGTTGGCCAGGCTGGTCTCAAACTCCGGGTCTCAAGTGATTAACCCTCCTTGGCCTCCCAAAGTGCTGGAATTACAGACGTGAGCCACCGCGCCCAGTCTACAGTTTCTTTTTCCCAAATTAAAAGTTGTATTTATTTCACGTTAGTCTACTTATTTTTATTTATTTATTTTTTTTAAATTGACAAATGATAATGAATACAGTTTTTCTACTTGGGCCTTTTTCAGTGCATTCTACTGCCTTCTAGCAACACTGCTAGAAATTGGGCAGGTGAGTTATTTACTGTCAGGCCTGAGCGGTGCTGTGTGACTTTCTTCTGGCTGTTCCTGATGCTTCGTAATATGAACAATGGCTATGAGTCTGGTACTGTGCTAAGTGCTTTCCATGAAATAATTTACTTGGTCCTTACCTTTCGAGTAGATAGTTGTATTATCTCCACTTTATGATGAACGAATCGAGGCATGGAAAGTGTAAGCAACCCACCTAAGTAAGTGTGAGGGCTGGGATGTGGACACGGGAAGGCTGGTCCCATAACTGACTTTCCCGGCCACCATGCTCTGTTCTTGTCTTGCTACATCCGCTCCCTTCCTCTCCTGCAGATCCCTTCAATTCCCCTCCATCATGAATAGGCCAATAGGAGCACCCAATGGTTATAAATAAAAAGAGGTTCCTTCCTCTCTCTCTCAATTGTTCCACATTTATGTCTATTTGGTATCTTCATGGGATATTAAGGACTCCGGCATTTGAGGAATGTCCTTTGATACCAATCAGTCCGGCATCTTTTTGGGAACACTGGGCACACTGGAGAGAGACCTGGACTGGGAGCCAGTCATCTAGTTTCCAGTCCTGGCTCTGCCACAGGTGTGCGTGTGTCCTTGATCATGGTACTCCCATTCGTCAGTGCAGGGATGGATGACCTCTAGGATTCCTCATAGCCTTAAAGTCTGTGATATAATTCTTTCCTTCCTCAGCCCAGTATCTGTCCTATGGCGCTGCTGGCCTGCCTTTCCCCCAGGAAGCCCAGGAGCGGGAATCAGTTCCCTCTTTGGAGTCCGAGAGGAGCATTACGTGGTTTTGCTGATTTCGAGAGGCAAAAGGAGAAGGTGAGGAAAGTCAGGCTCTCTGGTCTCCTAGTTGGTGCTGCCATCCGCAGGCTCAAATGTCTCCCTGAAATGCAGATGGAAATGAAGCAAGGTGAAAGGGTAAGCGTGGGAGCAGAGCAGCTTCTAGGCTTAAAGAGGAACTTAAACCCAACTGACTCACCAGGGAAGTGGTTGTTGACCTCAAATCCTAGTTGACTTGCGAGTTGGTAGCTTGTTCTTTGAGACACCTAGATGAATTTAGCTCCAGTGCCCATGAACTTCTGTCATTCATGGCAAAAAGAAGTAGCCTCCAAAAGAGCGACTGAACAAGAAGAATTTGAGGATGCATGAATGAATAAATGAAGGCTATGGCAATTCTTTTTCTGTGAATGCCTTGGGCAATCAGACAGAAAAGACACTCAGCTCTCCAGGATGGCTTAGACGGGTCTCCCCAGCACCACTCCTTGTTGAACTGATGGTGGCTGAAACATGCCAGGGTACAGGGGTCTTTGGGAAGCCTTTGATCCTGGCTGTCTGCTAAACTCAAACTTTCCCTCCTTCCTGATTTTACCATAGTCTTCCTTCTGTAAATTACTTGCACATGGCTGATACAGTTTCAGTTCTGGGCTAACAAAATGGCAGCCAGAAACCATTCAGTCATAAGATGAGCAGTGACAGAAAAAAACAGGGGAGAGATAAAACCTTAAGCTGTAAGCAGGGCGGGCCTCTGCCAAATAAAGATGTTTATTGCTCTTCTGCTTTCTCAACAAAATTATAAGACTGAATGCCTTGATTTATGTGGCTCAGCAGATGTTCTCACTGCCACAAATCTATTAGCTCCTTGCCTCCTCCATTGAGTGGGTGGTGCAAAAATAAAATCTGCAAGGAAGAAGCTGGCAATGACAGGGAAGGAAGTGAGGGGCCTCTGAGAGATTAGGAGCTGAGACACGACCCAGAAATAAAAGACAAGGAGAATCTGAAGGAACAAGTCTTCACGGTTCCTGTTCAATGAACTTTTCTCTAAGAAGAGAGAAAATTTGCACAGCCACAAATTATTGCAATTCAGAGAGCCAAGTATTGAGTTGAAAACATAGTTTATGTAGGGAGGTGTCTTACATTGAGGCTGCCATAACAAAATCTCATAGACTGGGTGGCTCACGAACAACAGAAATTTATTTCTTACACTTCTGGAGGCTGGGGAGTCCAAGATCAAGGCTGGCGGATTTGAGGTCTGGCTTCCTGGTTCATAGATGGCCTCTTCTTTCTGTGTCCTCACGGGATAGAAAGGGTGAGGACCTCTCTGGGTCTCTTTCATGAGAACACTAACCCCATTCATGAGGACTCTACTCTCATGATCTAATCACCTCCCAAAGGCCCCACCTTCTAAGACCATCACCTTGGGGGTTAGGATTCCAACATATGAATCTGGGGGGAACACAGGCACTTAAACCATAGCAAGAGGCATTCACAGTATTGATGGCCCAAATCTCTCACCCAAAGAAAGTTGTCCAACACCTTTGAGAAAATTTCAATGACATAGGTCCTCCGATGCCACCACTTTCTCTCATTTTTCTCTCCATATTGGCTGCGTGTCTATTACCCGTTCAATTCAGGCTGGCCATCCAGAACCTTCCCCACTAGATAATATCTCCACCTTAAATTAAAAGCAGTCTCCTTCCTACTTGTTCAGAGCCCTGGTGTTAGGATGGTTGCGGAAGATTGTTAAAATGGCAGCACAACGTGGAGATTTCCTGGGGATTTCAATCACCCAGTTCCCCCTACCCTTCCTGACAAAGGTTAATCATGAGGGGAATGAAAACAACACACAATCTTATGAGCAGTGAAGGATAGGTTGGATGGAACCCACAGAGGCCGGCTGAGATTTCAATTTCCTTAGTATAATGAAAACTGCATTTCCATTCACTGCTGCAGTAGAAATTATTTACCAATGGCCACCTGTGATATCATTGTCCCGTAGGTTATGTGGTGTGGACTGACTCTGCCAGGGATGGCTACCGAAGCCTCTGTTCATTATCCCCCTCCTTGAAGCCCTGGGGATGCTGCCCGTGAGCAAAGGCAGTGCTTTTGTGCGCATGAAAAAGGAGGAGCCATTTCATAATATCTTGGTGATTTTAAACATGATTCCTTCTCCCATTTTTCTATGACCTTTCCTTGCTTGATTTGAATTTATGATTTTCTGCATGTGTTTCAGATGCCAGATATCATCAATAAGAATAAATTACAAACTTATTTTCCAAGTAGCTATATGGCAGGCCATGAGTTAAGTGCTTTGTATACAGTATTCCACATAGTTAGAACAGCCTGGTGTGCCAGAGATTGTCCTCCAGTATCCATCCTTTCCTTCTTCCTTTGATAATATAATCCCATGTTTTTCAGCTAAGCACACGGTTTCCTGCAATCAAACCATGTATCACACCAGCCGCCGTTGCAGCTATGTGTGACCATGTGGCCACTGGGATGTAAGAGTTTTGTGTGCAATTTTCAAGACACCTCCTCAACAGGAGGGAACATGCCGCCCTCCTTCTGCCTTTTAAATGCACACATCCTTTATATAAAAATTAAGATTTGGTATGGAGATTTTCTATATGACAATGGTTACCTAATGCATAGATAAAGGAACCATCTATTCTGATGTGACAATGCTAGAAATAGAGGGGACTAAAACACATATATTAAAAATGTATGAGGACAGTTGTCCCTCAGCGTACACAGGAGATTGGGTCAAGGACCCTTGCATATACCCAAATCCACAAAACATACCCTTTTGTTCACTGGCTGGAATGTGGACATAATAGTTGGACATGAGCAGCCGTCTCAGACCATGAGATGGAAGCCACTTGTTGAAGATGGTAAAGCAACAAGAAGGAGCTTCAGGCCCTGATGACTGTGAGGGAGAATTTTGGGTTTTTTGCAGCTGCAGCTGAACTTACCTTACCAGAAACACTCTGCAAGAAGGTAATAGAATGAGGTATTAGAGAGCATGGACTTTGGGGTCTGAGGCACCAGGGTTTAAATTCTTCTTCTGCACTTACCAGCTTTGTGACCTTAGGCAAGTAACTTAACCACCCTGTATCAGATTCTTTATGTGTATAATTAGTGGAAGTAAAACCTCATTGAATTTTGTGACAAGTTTAGGTATATATGATATATCTAAAATGTTCAGCATAGAACTTGGCACATGGTAAATGCATGAGACAAGGTAGATGTTGTCTTGTAAGAGGAAACAAGCCTCAGATAAGTTAAAAAATTTCTTCCGGGGCCAGGCGCGGTGGCTCACGCCTGTAATCCCAGCACTTTGGGAGGCCGAGGCGGGCAGATCACGAGGTCAGCAGATCGAGACCATCCTGACTAACATGGTGAAACCCAATCTCTACTAAAAATAGAAAAAATTACGCAGGCATTGTAGTGGGCACCCGTAGTCCCAGTTACTCGGGAGGCTGAGGCAGGAGAATGGCATGAACCTGGGAGGCGGAGCTTGCAGTGAGCCAAAATTGTGCCACTGAACTCCAGCCTAGGCAACAGAGCGAGACTCTGTCTCAAAAAAAAAAAAAAATTTCTTCCAAGCCCACACAGATAAGTGATTGAGAGTCAGACCTGGAAGTCCCCAAAGCTTGTGATTTTCTGTGACATTGACCACCATGGATGCCCAGATGTCATCATGAAAAACAAGAACATAAAAGTTAGCTCTTTTGTAAGCTTGCTAGTTAACACGCCCAGACACACACACACAAACACACCCCAGACACACACGCACATGCACTTTGTATGTGACTCATTCTTTGACTGTAAAATTATTATATCTTACAAACGAATCTGCTGAAATAGAAATGTTTATTATTTGAACTAATACGCACCGATATTACCTGGTACAAAGTTTCCAGTAGGCGTTGCTGTTGTTCCCTGAACCCTCAAGATTGCTGGCTGATGACGCAATCTGCTGTCACACAATCACATTCTCCATTTCCTTCATTTCTATTGAGTTCACTTTTAAATTTTCGGATGAGTCGAGCTCAGAGATAGTCTCTAATGCTACAAATCTGTGCCAATGGTGTCCTTCCCACCCAGGCTTTCTACAGATCAGGGCTGAGGTGAATTGTTTTACATCAACCATGGGCTTATAACAGAGAGAGTGATACCAGTGGCCCTTAAGTCAAAGAAGAAGACTGAACAAGGCTGTGAGCTCCATGAAGGCAGAGCCTGTGTCTGTTTCATTCACTGATGTACCCCTACCCCTTACCCCAGAAGGGCTCCATCAATATGTATTGAATGAACTTTGAATGAATGGGTGCTTTCAGGATCACACCATGCAATAAACAGTCATAGCATAAGCCATCAAGTTGATGCTAATCACTTCCCCACCGAGCCCAGTTATAGTGGGCATTTGCCCAGCTTTGCCCCCCAGCATGCAATTCACTATCCTAAAGCACCTCATCTTCCCTTTAGGGAGTTTTCGCTGTGGGTCGTTTTCTGGGGGTGGGAGCAGGGAGTGCTTGCCACTTAGAAACCAAAGAGGCCAGATGCTCTTTCTGGGAACTTTGAACAACTGCTGCAAGAATGTGGATTGGTTGGAGGCTATTCACTGCAGGGCTGGAGTAGCAAGTGGATCACATGCATCTGCTCTGAGTTTGGCAATGCTAACTTCAGCCTCTTCCTTACCAGCACTCTCAGGCCCTGCCCACTTTCCAGCCCTGGACTTCTAACCCTCCAGAGATTCTGATGTCCTACAAATACTTGGAATAGTCCTCCTATCCCTTAGTTTCATAAGAAAGCATGCAAGCTAAATTGTTAGAGAGATTTCACAGATAGTCTTTGTCTTCACCAACAGGCTTAAAGATTGTCTGGTAAATTTCCAAATAGTAACTTAGGAGCAGGAGAGAGAAGTTGCACTGTCAAGGCCAATATGATTCAATCTGAAATATGGAGACTGAAGTGATTGGAGAAGGTGATAGTGACCGGTTCTGATCCTAAAATGATTATCAGGATAAAAAAATCTGGCACTGAAAAAATTGGAGGGAAGCAAGTTGAAGGCTGGATCCATGGCTAAATATGGTGCCAACACCTGCTTTTACAATTGCTGATGCATTTTTCTCATCAACAAAGAATGCACGCTGGCAGGTTTCTCACTCCCTTTGCAGAGTGGTTATTGCTGTGCTGTCTTTTCACATATTGTGAGGATTCTGGGTCATTTTTCTCAAGTTTGAAACTGTGGATGTGGCAATGGCTATTTCCAGAGAGAAAACAGTGGAATCCTGGAAAGAGCTGAAGAAACTATCAACTCGAATTTTGCACTTTGGTCCAAGTGAATTCTGAAAGCAGATCCTTTGCATTTTACACATCTATAAAAGGAACCAGGGGCTCATTCTACACTGTGATTGTTCTCCTCTAGGAAGAATGTACTTTCATTACCAATTACATCCGAAAATATTCATATTGTGCTTTATTTTTTTTTTTTGCCTTTGTACTTCAAAAAGAACAATTTGAGAATCAAGTTTCATATGCCACCTTTGATAGTATAATTCCCATTGGAGTAATTGGCTCCCTTCTTCCCCATCTCTTTCTGAACCTACTTAAAAAAAAACACAGGTCGGGCTCGGAGACTCATGCCTGTAATCCCAGCATTTTGGGAGGCCGAGAAGGGTGGATCACAAGGTCAGGAGTTCGAGACCAGCCTGACCAACATGGTGAAATCCGTCTCTCCTAAAATACAAAAATTAGCTGGGCGTGGTGGCGTGTGCCTGTAATCCCAGCTACTCAGGAGGCTGAGGCTGGAGAATCGCTTGAACCCAGGAGGCAGAGATTGCAGTGAGCCGAGACTGCACCACTGCACTCCAGCCTGGGTGACAGCAAGACTCCCTCAAAAAAAAAAAAAAAAAAAAAGGCAAAGGAGAAAGGCAGATGGAGACCAAAATATCACCTTTCCTACTGATAAAGCTGACACTAGAGAAAGTGGAAGATATCTGCAGACAAAGGGATGGCAAGGGGCTAGGCTATGCATGCCCATCACCAATCATCTAAGTCTCTCCCCTCTCCTGGGTTGGGGGAGAGAGGACTGCAGGGAGCTTATTATGCCAGTGGACTCACACACCACAGGGAAGGGAACACCCGGAGTGGTGAGTGGTTGTGAAGTACCTTTGGCTTAAATGGCAAAGTCTGTTGTAGGCATTTTCCACTCATGG